GTGGATAGCAATTAAGGGAAATACCTCTTTAAACAGTCTGATTGGGTTGGGATATAGCAGCCGTGGATGGTTTGGATGAGGTTATTATTTTGACAATTCAGAGAGCTCATCAGGACAAAAACAGTCCAAACATAAATCAGGTTCTAGTGACATTTTTAAAGTTGTCTCATCTGACACAGAACCAGAGGTGATACTAGATAGGATTTTAAAGATCTGCTCAGGAAACATGCTTGGCTTTAATGTGTCAGAAAACCAAATGAGAAATTTTAACTTTTGTTTTTTCATTCATTCAACCTTTATTTAAACAGGTTAGTCCCATTGAGCCACGAGGACTCATTTACAAGAGAGACCTGGATTTTAACAAAGCGTGATGACAGCAGTGGACAACAACGACAATAATAGACAATCACAAATGATGCATGCATTTTTTTATTTTTTTACAAATGAAAATAAAATGGTAATTAAAAGGATAATTAGAAGTAAAAGTGGCAAAAAATAAAATTCAGCTAGATTACGAGACGGTGTAGAAAACTAAAAACAGGAACATGTCTACATTGGTTCTTGCCAGGAACTTAACAGATGTTTAAAACCACTTAAAGAGGTCAAAGTTGAGAGCTTCAAATCTTTTTGCAAGATATTCCAGAAAACAGGAGCGGAGTAGGAGAAGCTCCTTTTCCTAGTTCAGTCTTCACTGAGGGAACACTGCAGGAAATAATGTCCTGAGAGTGCACGCTGTAGCTGCACTCACGCAGAGACAAGTAGGAGGAGAGGCATTTGTTCATTTGTTCTGATCTGTGTTGTGCACATCAGCATGTTTGATTCTACATTTACAACTGATAATGTTTTGGAGTCGATCCAGTTCAAGATCAGCTGCTCGACCTCAGCCAACTCATAGTTCAAGTTCAAGTTGTGTTTAGTTGTCATATGCAAGGTTAACACAAGGTCAACAGAACAATGAAATGCTCAGGATGAGAAGAACCGATTGGACTCGTAAAAAAAAAGAACAAACAAACAAGAAATACTAAAGCATGCAATAAGGGTGCAAAATAAAGTACCAAAAAGGGAAAAAGTACAGTAATTCTAGTATTTACAAGGTTCCAAAGTGAGACAGTTAAGAACAACATGGCAGAATATAAAGGTGCAGCAGGAGGAATTTGTATAAATAAGTATTTCAAGGTAGTAATATAAGCTACAACACACACACACACACACACACACACATATATATATATATATATATTAGGGGTGCAGCGATAAATCGGCCCCGATTTTCTTAATTTTGGGAAATCGGAAATCGGCCGATACTTGAATGAGAAACCGGTTTTACCAATTTTTTTAGTTTTAACAACAAATGTCTAAACTTCATTTATATTTCAGAGCACTACCTCATGGCCAGTTAAAACAAGTTCGTATTGTTTCTAGGATATTGTTCAAGGGTAAGTTTCTCAATAAAATAAGACTGGAAAATTGAAGGTGCATTGTGACCTTACAACACCTGACAGTGTCACTTATAAAAATCGGTATTGGCAGGTCAGACTTTTTAGAAATCAGTGATCGGCTAGAAAACTACAATCGGTGCAACCCTAATATATATCATAATTAACATATAATACACAGGTAGTGACAATGGGATTGAATTATGATGGTAAGGTGCATAGATACTGTATCATACACAATTCAGCCACAGATTGCAGCAGGAATAAACATTAAACATATTAGATGTCACAAGCTAATATTAGTCATATTAGTTGTCACAGATGTGGCTTGGTGCAAAGTTATTGTCAGTTGTTCTGTGTTATTTATTGAGAGTTCAGTAATCTGACAGATTGTGGATAACAGCTGTCCTTTAGTCTTTTTGTACATGATGACAGACTCCTGTATCATCTACCTGAGGCTAATAGATGGAAAAGTCCTTGTGCTGGGTGGGTGTGGTCCTTAATGATGCTGCGTGCTTTATCGGCTGTGATAGATGTCCTGGATGGTGTGGAGACTGCTACCAGTGATGTCCTCTGCTGTTTGCATCACCCTCTGTAGAGCTTTCCAGCTCTGACTGGTGCAGTTCCCGTACCACCCTGTGGTGCAGCCTGTCAGCAGGCTCTCCATGGTGCACCTATAAATGTTGGTGAGGATGCTGGTGTTTGTACCAAACTTCTTTAGTCTTCTTAGGAAGTAGAGTCTTTGTTGGGCTTTCTTGACCACAGTAACTGTCTGTAAAGTCCAGGACAGATCCTCGATAATGTGAATGCTGAGGAACTTGAAGCTGCTGCCCTGCTCCACCTCAGTGTTGTTTATGTTGATGGTGGAGTGCTGACCTCCACACTGTTTCCTGAAGTCCACTATCATCTCCTTCATTTTACTGACATTAAGAGAGAGTTTTTTTTCCTGACACCAGCTGGTCAGTGATTTCACCTCGTCTCTGTAGGCACTCTTGTTGTTGGTGATGAGGTCCAAGATGGTGGTGTCATCAGGATACTTGAGGATGATGTTAGAACTATGCTTGGCCGGTACACTTATGTAAATAATGAGTACAGGAGTGGACTGAGGACACAACCTAGGGCTACAACCTGGTGAATTTTCAAGATCCTAACCTAAAATGTGGTGTGGTAGTAGATGAGAGTCATCTCCATCACATACTCTGAACACAAGAGATCTTTGGAGTCAAAGTTGTTTGTTAGCAAAATATCTTATGAATCAAAGGATATATTTTTATAAAACATTTCAGAAAGTAATCTACATCTGATTTGGAGTCAACTCAATTCAAGATGGCCGCTGCAGCTAATGGACCATAGCAAACACAAAGTGTCTGGTCTCCTCCAAGTCCATAATGAGGCCAGCGCTCCGGTGTTTTCAGGTGATGCAGAATGTGGGACGGCTGGGTCACTGTGGTGAACGAGTCGCTAAGTCTGGCTCTCACGTGCACCCACAGCCAGGCCAATCCTCTTACACCCCCTCTAGACACACACACACACACACACACACACACACACACACACACACACACAGAGGGCCAGCCGCTCAGCACCGTGTTCGCTCCACAGGTGGGCCCACTTTAAAGAAGGAAGCACACATGACCTATAAAAGATTTATACATTCTCTTTTTATTGTTTCTGTTCCTAATCTCATTAAAACGACATCAAATAGTTCAACTACGGTCATTTGTGCAGTTTTTTAAGGAAAGATTGGAAAACCACTCGTCAGTAAGTGGGTCAGCCAATAAGAAACTAATAACATGCAGAATATGTTGGAGCTGGAAGTATGTCAGAAATGACAGCCTTTATTTAAAAACGGTGATGCACGAATCAATGTCACAGTGCTTAATTTGTTATGAAATTATGTTAATTTTAATCTTAAATGATAAACTTTTATGATCTTTATTTGTTTTCTAAATGTTTAGGTCACAGGAATCATGAAGGAATGAAACAGCTGAACTTTTGCTAAACTTGTTGCGTTTCCGTCCTAATCAGAAAAGAAAAAGAAAGTGTGTTGTCTTCTTCATAAAAACATGATACCACCCACCTCAGAATATAATCTAATCTGGATTTAGTAAAATTATAAATTACCATGAAACTCTTTACAGTTTGCTCCTAGAGTCAGTTTCTTGTGATCGTCTCAGGTGATCTGGATCTGTAGTTCTTCTTCTGAAAGTTTTTCAGAATTCATTTTTCTTTGGAATTTGGCTGCTTTCCAGAGGTCACGTCTTTTTTACATCACCAGATCCATCCATCCATCCATCCATCCATCCATCCAATCATCCATCCTTTGGTCCTTCCATCCATCCATCCATCCAATCATCCTTCCTTTGGTCCTTTCATCCATCCGTCCATCCATCCAATCATCCATCCTTTGGTCCTTCCATCCATCCATCCAATCATCCATCCTTTGGTCCTTCCATCCATCCATCCATCCATCCATCCATCCAATCATCCATCCGTCCATCCATCCATCCATCCATCCAT